TGGGGAGGCACATGACACTGATGATAAGTATGATCGGAGAGAGCAGTCTCCCATCCCTCACATGTCCCCCCATCGTCCTTCACAATCACACACTGCACCATCTTCCTCTAACCCTGTTGCAGGTACTGCTCCTGGATTCTTTGTCACCGAGGAGATGTGGCGTGATATGACAGCTAGAGAAGAAAGGCGTGATGGCCTTCTCTCTACTATTTCACAGCAGCTGACGGACAATATGAGCTTCATGCAACAATCGCGATTGGTTTCGGATCGTGCTTATAGCAACATTTGCCGTACCTTGAACGATATTTCATCAGAGCAGAACCGTCAGAGAGAGTTCAACAGCCGACACTACCAGCTTGTAGAGGCTACTCAGGGTTCCATCTTGGGTAACCTTCGAGAGGTCCGGAGTGCTCAGGCTGCTTTATCAGCACGACTCGACCGGAGGGACCAGCATCGTAGTAGATCCCGTCGTTCCAGACCATCACATCAGGACGGCGAAGGCACCAGTGCCCCTCCTCAGTAGTCTTTTTCCAGGTTACCCCCCTTATCTTAGTTCGAAACATTGGGGACAATGTTCGATTTAAGTGTGGGAGGGGATTTTATTGCTTTCTGTTATTCCCCTTTTTAGTTAATTTCCTTTCAGTTATTTCCCTTTTCAGTAATTTATTTTTCTTAGATAATGCATGAGTCTGACGAGTCACCAGTATAGTGTCTTTTTTAGTTCATCTTCATTTTTTTCCCATTTCCTTAGCCTTACCAGAAAATTTTTAAAAAGAAAACAATGTTGTTTCACATGTTTTTTGGGCTTTGAGACAGGTTTAGATTAGGATGTGGTGACTTAGGTCAACTTTTTGAAACATCAGAACCATTTTAGCACCATAGACCTCTTGAATATAGGAATCACTCCTAAACCCCACCACCATGGCCTTTACTATCATTCAAAAAATTGTCCTAAGTAGTTTATTTTAGCAGTCAGCTCCGGCCTAAGCATACTCTACGTAGGGGGCCGATGAATATAAGTGAATGATCCAGTGCTAATAAAAAAGGAAAAAAAGGCAAACTCTGGTATAGGTGACCCTCACAAAGTCATTTAAACCGAAAAAAGAGAAGAAAAAATTTTTTTGCCACAAAAAGAAAAAAATTGCAAGTCACCTATTGTTAGTTGGTTCAGAGGTATCTGGCACTGAACTTGGTAGGGCGGATTACGATCCGATCCCCCGCAGCTACATTTAGGCGAAATAAAAACAGGTTTACACATGCTTATGTGCCAGAAACCTTATGTTATGGATCAGAATCACTAACCAGTCACTCTACTATGAAGCATGTACGGATAACGGGCTTAATGTGATTGCGCCTGAATGAAAAGGACACAAAAAGATGAGAAGATAGGCCTAGGTATCGTGGGATGACATGGAGTGGTTAATATAGGATTGAAGTTTGTGTTTGTGTTACTATGGTACCCTTGGTTCACTTAGTTAGTATCTGTCACTGCATCCTGACTTGAACTTAGAATCCCTTTAGCCCAAAGACAAGTGTTGACACCATATTTTCTTAAGCTTTAATGTTTGCTTGAGGACAAGCAAAGGTTTAAGTGTGGGAGAATTTGATCACACTAAAATTCACCGTATTTCTGACTCCGATTTCGCATGCATTCTTAGCTTTTATGGTTGTTTTGCTTTGTTATTGCTTTGTTTTCTTATGTTTTCAGGTTTTTATAATAATCGGAGCTTGAATCGGGAAAAGGAGCGAAAAAGGAGTGAAAACGGACGAAAACCTAGAAATTCAGCATTTTGCACTTACGGCACCCACTGTGGCGGGCGCCATGGGGTTAGCCATGACGTGGCCACGTCTCAAGACCACTCCTCAACCTCCAAGACCCACGATCCCCACTCCATCATCCCCTGTAGGGACCGTGGCGGGCGCCATAGGCCCTGTGGCGGGCGCCACAAGGCAAAAATCTATAACCTCCACTTTTTAGTGGAGGGGCGTCCCGGTCATTTCGCGCTTCCAGTTTTTACTATAAATAGGACCTTAGATTTTCGTTTTTCTTCATCCAGAATTAGAATTCTCTAGGCATATATCAGTTATAAAGCAGTTGCCATTCCACATCGGGGTGCCTCTGCAATCGAGTGATCGAGTCTGTAATCTGTCTGTGGTTCGAGTTTTGGAGCACTCTGGAGGAAGTTAATCCTGCCGCCATTTTAATTCCAGTTAGTATTTTATTTTTCCGCATTGCTTTACTTTTATTTATTTTCTCGCACATTTACGTTGTTTACTTCCCGCACTCGCACATTTACGTTGTTTACTTCCCGCACTCGCACATTTACTTTGTTTACTTCCCGCACTCGCACATTTACTTTGTTTACTTCCCGCACTCGCTTTAAATTACTCATATGAAAAACTATAAAAAGAATATTTACTTTATCATGTCTAACTAATCCCATAAAGGTTAGAATGTAAGGATCGTAATTAAACCAGTAATCAGTATAATTGTTCGTGGAAACACCTAAGGGCTATTTTATCTTTCAATTCAAGTAATTGTTTTTAACTATTTCAAAAACAGCCAAAAGCGCTTTGTATAGTTCATTAGGAGTTTTTAGATTAAAAAGAAAAGAGATTTTAAAACGATTTTCGGACGCGTTATGAGATTTAGAGTCTGGTTCATAAGAACCTCTTTTTGCTAAGAAGTCCAGGTTAAAATACTTTTCAACTTTGTTAAGAAACTATATTTCTTAAAAATAGGTTTACTACTCTAACGCAGTACGCACCTTTTTATCCGTGACAATAGGAGGGGTTGATTAGAGAGTACAACTCGGTTCTGAATACGCGAAAGCGACAGTTCCTGTTAAATTAGTTCTTTTCAAAGGAGAAAACATTGCCCATAAGTAGTTCCATTAACAAGTACTGGATTATCATTGATTACGTGAATTACATTCGAGCCTGTCTTTCATTTATTATTTAAAATTATAATTTTATTTACCATTGCACCCTTACTAAAACCCTTAAAAATAGTTGCCTTAGAAACACCATAACAACAGGTACGATAGATTGACACTTGGTCTCTGTGGATTCGATAATCTTTTATATTACTTTGACGTGATTCGTACACTTGCGAAAAACACGCATCAGTTACATAAACCTAGTACAAGCTAGGCATACACATCAGTTTGTTACATGAACATAATATCTATTACATGAACCTAGAAGAAATAAAAATCAGGTAGCAATAAGTACAACTATCACAAAATTCATCTTCTTCCTTAAGCTGTCAACCTTTTTCTTCATTTCTTCCATCTTTTTCGCAATATCTTTCTCCATTTTACTCATTAGATCTACGACTTCTCCATTTTTTACAATTGTTTCTCTTTCACCAAAAAAATCATCATCACAATGGAATAAGTGACAATCATTTTCTTTACCCCAAAATTTACATTTCTAGTACTTTCTGCCAGGATTTGCAATCGACTTTGAAACAAACATCTTCATGCAAATATTATGACCATATTTCAGATATATTCTACTTTTTGAAGACATGCTTGAGTTTGAACAAACTGAATTTTTAATTTTTCTTGATTGGATCGGCAAAAAAAGGACGATGAAGGGACATATTTGAAGGAGAAAATGGAAGGAGAAAGGGGATTAGGGATTCCAAGGAAGAAAACAATTATATGAAGGAGAAGATGTAAGGAGAAAGGGGATCACATGTCCAAGGAAGGAAACAGTGAAGGGTAGCTTCGTCCAGTTACCTTTCATTTAACACGTTTAGAAAATAATTAAAATGAAAAAATCAAATAAACGCTGCCACATCATCATTTTTTATGAGTTGGCCTGATAAAGGTTTAAGAGAGATGTTTTTCAAATGTTAGGGGAATTCATGCAATTTTTTTTAAGGGTTTTTTTTTTTAAATGGCCAATATGGCATGGGGAAAATAGGTATTACCCTAAAAAAATTATTCAATGTTATTCCTACTACTATACTAATAAAGTTTACGTAATTCTAATACTAAGTGTTGTTTCTTACGTACTTTCTAAGACTAATATATCTTGTGAAATTTTCTACTATTATCAAGTTTTATATTATGTGGATGAATTTTATTAAACAATATATGATATGTTTCATCTAATTTGAGTGTTACAAATGAATGTAATCGTATTGAAGTCTATTACAATTTTTTTATAACTAAAAAAAACTCTAAAAAAATATTTTGTATTTGAAACATAACCTGCAAACACAATCCATAAATAAATGGGTTAGTTTGGGCCGATTTTGAATGTAAAATTACGGGTTGGACAATGAATCCAACTCATTAAAATTTGAACGGGTCGGATAACATATTAGGCCAAACTCGGCCCAACCGAACCCGTGTATACCCCTAATGTTGAACACAAGTGATGGGAAGAAAGATCAAATTTGTGAAAATCAATCATACATTAAAAAAATAAGGTGAAATTTATTGATGATGGTACTTTAGGATCACAAAAGATTGAGGATCACAAAAGATTGGTAATATCTTTAATCAAAAGGAATGATGGAGAACAATTAGGAATCAATGATGTTCGATACCTTTTTTGGAGTGAAGTGCATTATTTTAAATATTTGGCTAATTATTTAAGAAGAACTAAACCACTCCACAAATCATAAAGAGTTCATTCATTCAAACTCCAAGCCTGTCAGCAAAGCAACGGTGGATGTAGTAGAAAGTCCTGAGATGACATATAACATTCATGACATATTTAACATGGAAGGTTATTTTGCGGTGAAGGTTACTCCTCTAGAAGCTAATCTTTGTTTGAGGGTGAGTTGAAGGCGTTAGTAGAAGATGGAAAGGGATGGTTGAGCCAATGCTTAAAGAGATAGGGAGTTGGAATCTAACAGAAGTGGACAATGATAGGTTGGCCTGGATTCGTTTATATGGAGTGCCTTGTCATGTATGGAATCCTAATTTTTTTGAGTTCATCACTAAATTGATATGCGTCTGGATGATAATACAAGAGCTATTATGAAGATGGATGTGGCGAGAGTTTTAGTGAGAACTAGTTGTAATATGGCTTTGAATGGAGCTTTCGACGTGAACATCAATGGAGATATGTTATGTATCAAGATGGTTGAGGACTTTTATGGTCCCTTAAGAATATCCGTGCCTTCGTTTTTAAGCAAGCAGTGGGGCGTGCCGGAGGATGAGGCCGATTTCGACGATAGTGTCGAAGAAAGTGATGAAGATGTTTCAAAAGGAAGCTCAAAATTGAGCTGGAAGGTTGAGGGTCTTGTGTTTCCTAGAGAGGAAGAGCCTCAGTCGGATAAGTTGTTTCACAAAAGGGGACATGTGTTTGTTCATGCTGACAATGTAGGGAAAATATATAGTTTGTTGAATATGAAGGATTTGTTTGATAGGGCGGCTGAGAATTTGTAGGTATGGGCAGAGGTAGACGCAGAGCAGGTAAAGTAGGTGGGGATTTAAGACAAGTCAACCAGGGGTAATGTGTCATCAAGGGGAAACAGGGAGGAAGTCATAGGCTACACAACATGAAATGAAATGTGGCAATAAATTCAATTTTAAAGCGAGGAAAAGTTTAAAATGTGGCTGAAAGTATTGACTTTTCTTCCAGGTACAAAGTTAATTCCAATTTGAAGCCAATTACGAAAGTGCACCCTCAACCTATCTTGGTTGGGCCTGGAACTAGTGTGGCCTTTGTTACAAATAAAACAGGTTCGATCCAATTAGGTATCTATCCAACCAAAGAGATTGAGCAGGCTGAGGGATTGTTTAAACCTTTTTATTTTTCTTCTCTAAGACCATCGAAAAATTCTTCAAAGCATTAAAGTGTACCATCTTCGTCTTCCTAGTCCGATTCTTTCTCCAAGAGGCTTTCAGATGGGTCTATATTGTGTTATGAATCTACGTCGAACACAAATGTTTTACAGTGTAATAGAATATTTTAGGCATCAAAGGAGTAGAATTTGGCGATAATTTGAAGGGGTTAAGGGCATCCTTGAAAGAGAGTCTCACGTGTTTTATCAAGAAGGGACGGTTTCAGGTTTGTTTGCTGCAAGAGATGAAAGTACAAAGTATGGATGATGAGTTAGTTTGGGCATTGTGGGGAGACAAGAACATCTAGTGGACAACCAAAGTTGTTCAAGGAAGAACAAGAGGTCTTCTAATTATGTGGAAGGCTTGTATCTTTGATCTTAAAATTAGCTTTGTTGGAGAGGGATGTGTGGGAATTCATGTCGTTTGGAGGGATATATATATATATATATATATATATATATATATATATATATATATATATATATATATATATATATATATATATATATATATATATATATATATATATATATATATATATATATATATATATATATATATATATATATATATATATATATATATATATATATTGTTAATGTATATGCATCTTGTAGTTTGTATTTGAAGAGAGTGTTATGTAAGGATCTTGTCGACTTTTAATGTAGGTTTGGTAATAGAGAGTGGTGTGTGGCAGGGAATTTTAACCGTTAAGAGTGTGGGGGAGTGGAAAGAAAGTAATTTATACATTAATAATGGTGAAATGGTAGATTTTAGGGAATTCATTATGAGCCTAGATCTTGCTGATGTTCCTTTGATAGGGGGAAATTCACTTGGTTTAGGACCTTCAGTAACACAACTAGTCGTTTAGATTTGTTGTGAATCAGATACCTTTAAACAAAGTATAAACGGTTTCTTAATGATCAAGAAACACACAAGGGTTAGGGTTAACAAAGAAAACAAGGTAAAACAACAAGGAACAACAAGGATTGGTTATTAAACTGCTATTCTTTCCTTTCTCTTTGAACAAGATTACAAGTATACAAGAATAACAAAATAACCTCTCTCCCTTGAAATTAGGATTTTATCTTCCTATTTTTCCTTATGCCAAGATTGAGAAACTAGCATCCTATTTATAATAAAATAGCACATGCTAACAACCCTAGCAATATTTACTCATGCTAACAACCTTAGCAATATTTACTCATGCTAACAACCTTAGCAATATTTACTCATGCTAACAACCTTAGCAATATTTACTCATGCATGTTAGAACAAACTTCGACTACAATACGCATTACTTGCGAACAGACTTCGACCACACTAGAGTTCGATCCAATGTCTCACAAATCTCCACCTTGGATCTAACTCTATAACATCAAGAAACTAGCTTTCTTCATGCAGATTTATTAACTGCATACAGTGGAAAAACTTGCAACTGGGCAATGTCTTGGTGATCATATCAGCAGCATTATGATCTGTCGAAACTTTCAGCACTTGGACTTCTCCACGCTCGATTACCCCTCTGATGAAATGCAGCCTCACATCAATGTGCTTGGTTCGCTCATGATAGGCTGAATTCTTCGACAGGTGTATTGCACTTTGACTATCACATTTAACAGTGATAACTCGACCTTGAAGGTTTAGCTCCTTTGCAAAACCTTCAAGCCACAATGCTTCCTTCACAGCTTCAGTTAGGGCAATATACTCCGCTTCAGTGGTTGATAGGGCAACAACCTTCTGAAGTGTTGCTTTCCAACTGATTGTTGTCCCAAACATAGTGAACACATATCCAGAGATAGATTTTCTGGAATCCATACAACCTACATAATCAGAGTCGACATATCCATCGATTGCTGCTTTACTATCTTCACCTAAGGCTCCACCATAAATTAGGACTCTATTTAGAGACCCATTTATGTACCTTAAAATCCACTTCAATGCTTGCCAGTGAGCCTTTCCAGGATTCGCCATGTACCTGCTTACAAGACTTACTGCATATGCTATGTCGGGTCTAGTACAGACCATAGCATACATCAAAGACCAATTTGTCTTCTTTTGATTCCTCATAACTTCCTTATAGTCTCTAGGTTCTTCGTCTAGAACCTCACTTGCAGAGATTAAGGCATAAACTATAAGATCTGCATACCCAAGTCTCTGAGGTGGCTTGATGACTCTCCTCGACCTGTCTCTTGCTAGCAGGTAGTCATTATCAGTCTCCTCATCTTCGACAACATCTTCTGTGTCTTCTTCGACTTCATCTGGGGTAAGCAATTCATCATCAACATGCTCCACCTCAACAGGAATCTCTCCCTGTTCCAGCTCTTCGTCAGCATCATCAGTTTCCTTGAAAGCCATTTCTGTTTCGTTGAAAACTACATCTCGACTGGTGATACACCTCCTGTGACCTGGCTCTAGGCACCATAGCCTATAAACTTTGACTCCTTCAGGGTATCCCATGAACATGCATTTCAGAGCTCTAGGTTCGACCTTATCTTGCCTAATATGAGCATAGGCCACACAGCCAAATACTCTCAGTCTGTCGAGACTAGGTGGATGTCCCAACCAAACTTCTTCAGGTGTCTTCATTCCCAAGGCAGTCGAGGGACATCAATTTATCAGGTAAGCTGCTGTCGAAACAGCTTCCGCCCAAAACACCTTCTTCAATCCAACACTAACCAACATGCATCTAACCCCTTCAAGGATTGTTCGATTGAATCTCTCAGCTAAGCCATTTTGTTGAGGAGTACCTGCTACAGTCTTATGCCTTGCAATCCCAGACCCAACACAGTAACTGCCGAAAGCTTCGTTGCAGAATTCAAGGCCATTGTCGGTTCTCAACCTCTTAACCTTTCTGCCAGTCTGAGTTTCGACTAGAATCTTCCAACTTTTGAAATTCTCAAAAGTTTCATCCTTCGTCTTCTGAATGAATACCCATAGTTTTCTGGAATAGTCATCAACGATGGATAGAAAATACCTTGCACCTGAGTGTGAAGGATTCCTTGCAGGCCCCCAAAGATCAGCATGAATGTAATCCAGGGATCCATGTGTTCTTTGCTTGCCTTTATTAAACTTCGCCCTACAGGATTTACCAAATACACAAGATTAACAAAATTCCAACTTTTCGACTTTGTCACCTCCTAGCAGGTTCTGCTTCCCCAATTCGACCAGGCCTCTTTCGCTGACATGGCCCAATCTCATGTGCCATAATTTTGTCTTCGACATAGATTTCGTGGATGCAACATTTGTCGAACCACTTACAACCTCAGCCTCAAGGGTATACAAGCCTTGTTTCTTCACGCCTCTCAAGACTTCCTTCGACCCCTTCATGACTCTTAGGATACTTTTCTCTCCTTGAAAAACATATCCTTTTCTGTCGAATTCACCAAGAGAAATCAAATTTCTCTTTAAGCCAGGTACGTACCTGACTTCAGTTAATAACCTTATTAACTCATCATGGAGCTTGAATCTCACAGATCCAATACCTGCAATTTTGCAAGATTTGTTGTTTCCTAACAGCACAGATCCACCATCTTGATCACATAGCTCCTCGAACAATTCTCTGTTTGGAGTCATGTGCCAAGTGCAACCTGAATCCATAATCCACTCTTTCCTCGAGTCGCCACTTGAAACCACAAGAACATCAGATGAGTCAAAGTCATCTTGAACAATGACTGCATTGCCATTACCTCCATGATCTTTCAGGCGTTCAGGGCACAACTTTCTTATGTGACCCTCCTTCTTACAGTGGTAACATCGAATACTAGATGTTTCGCCACTATAAGACTTCTGTTGACTTTTACCTTTTTTCTTGTCGAACTTAACATCCTTTCGCAAGAATTTTCCCTTAACGGCCAAACCTTCGCCCACCGTCGAAGGTTTATGCTCCTTTCGTTCGTTCAAGTCCTTAGAATACAAGGCTGATTGAACTTCTTCAAAGGTCAGGGACTCCCTTCCATACAAGAGAGTTTCTTTGAAGTGAGCATGTGTTCTGGGCAAAGCACACAGCAGCAATAGTGCTTGATCTTCATCATCGATCTTCACATCAATATTTTCAAGATCAAGAATCAGCTTGTTGAACATATCCAACTGCTCACCCAACACTTTGTCTTCACTCATCTTGAATGAATATAAAGCTTGCTTCAGGTATAGTCGATTCACCAGAGATTTGGTCATGTACAAACTTTCAAGTTTCACCCATAATCCCGATGCTGTAGTCTCCTTTGATACCTGTCGAAGAACCTTATCACCAAGGCTCAATAATATTGCGCTGTGGGCTTTCTCGATCATGCCCATCTTTTCTTTTGCCGTTAACGCAGCGTCCATGGCTGCCTCACCCTTCAACGCTTCCAAACAACCCTGCTGAACCAATAGGGCTTTCATCTTCAAGCGCCACAGACCAAAGTCGTTCACTCCGGTGAACTTTTCAATCTCATACTTTGTTGAAGGCATCTTCTCCACGCTCACCGCACCAATTTGTTGTGAATAGGATACCTTTAAACAAAGTATAAACGGTTTCTTAATGATCAAGAAACACACAAGGGTTAGGGTTAACAAAGAAAACAAGGTAAAACAACAAGGAACAACAAGGATTGGTTATT